ATGGATGCAAACAAAAAAGAAGGAGAATAGATTCTCAAAAAATGGAGAAGGAAAGAGAAAATATTGGGGAGAAGTGAAGAACAAAAGGGCCAAATAGGGCGATTTATAACCCTAGTACTGAAGGGTTTGGCTTCTCAAGGAAGTTGGCACCAAGATTTGGTGGTAAAGATTGAAAATTGGCCTAGAGATGCTCCACTCACTCGGTCTTTTGAGTTCAAGTCACTTCTGTCTCTATAAGAGCCGTCGCTAGTCTTGCTTCTGTCAGACGCCGTCAGTCCTGGAGTGAAGAGTTACCATAATGATGGCAGGCATAATGATGGTTGCCAACTCATATTCTTCCGTTTGATCTTCAAAGGACCGTTTCTCGAGGAGTCTTTGTCTAACTTATTAAAAAAAAAACATTATTAAAGGCTCAACTCAATGCAAAAAAGAGGGATGAAATTCAAGTGCACCATTTTCAATTCCTTAACAGAACCAAAAATGTACTTGAAAGGGGGCATTGTTTGTACCCTTTTTGGCAAAAATTGCCACGTGGCAATATTCCCAATAATTGGTGCCACGTGGCAGTGGAAGATAAAAGTCAAAGATTTTGTAGAACCCACTACCAAGGTTAAGGAAATAGCGGCTAGAGTTAATTTGTTTTAATTAATTAAATTAGCCAAGTCATTGGGTTAATTAAGTAATTTAAATTTGGTTTGATTGGATAAAGTGGGCCTTAACCATTCATAATAATTAGGAGGTTGTTAAGGCTTATCTCCTAAATTAAAGCTTTATCCGCTATTATTAGGACTTATCTCTTATCTCTTGGAGCCTTATCTAAGTTGATAAGTGATCAGGCTTATAAGATTTGGAGATCTTCCATATTATCTGTACAGATGGAGCTGTTTTTTCCCAAGATCACGGTGGATTGATTTTCTTTGGACACATGGCAGCTTGAAATGGCGTGAAGGATAAAAATAAGCTATAATCAAGGAATTATCTTCTAAGCAAGGCAAGGTTGTTTTTTGAATTCCTTGAAGATAGGCATGCACAACAAAGGGAAGGAAATCCATGCAACAATAAAGAAGATGTTCTTCCATAAATCAAACAAAATAAATTTAAGTCTGATTCTTGAGGGACACGTTGCAGCCTATAGGAGCTTGATGGACCAAGTCAAAGTGATAAGGATAGGCCTTAGACTTTGAAGATCAAAACCATTCCTAATCTTGGGGAATGAAGATTAGCATCAAGAGCAAATGTCACTAGGATTGGCTGTTACGTTTCTGGCAGTTAAGCAAGATTTGGGACTTCCTTAACAGTATATAAAGGACTCCAAGTGCAATATTGAAGTGGTCCCCGACCAAACACTAGACTAAAAATCACTCAATACATGTCTTTCAATTCATATTAGCTTCATACCTTATTTATCTTGACTTCATAGTTTCATTCCTTAGCTTAGCTTTATAGCTTCTTTATCATAGCATCACAACTTAGTTCCTTTAGTTTCATGACTTAGTCATTTTAGATTATCAATTGTACTTCATTCTCAGTCAATGCAAGTCAAAATCTTAGTCTAATCATCTTTGGCACCTATAAATTTGTTCAAAGTCCTCTTCATTAGGGCAAGATCCAAACCAGTGGCAAATCCTCTTAGCCACACACAATCATTTCTTTGTGTTAGAAGTCAAAAATAGTCAACAATTTCTACACTTTAAACTAGGTTCACAAGGTCTGGCACGGCCGCATTCAAATAATAAGCTTTTTTGTGTTCACACTTGCAGGATTTCTTGAGTGGTAATAAGAATTTCTGAGGAGTGCAAACAGTTTTGTTCCATCTTCAAATAAGGTATTTATAGATGTTTAGTCCTTTTGAAAATCACGACTGTCTCCTAAAAATCTGTAACAACCTCCTGAAGAATCTCTATGATCTCTAGATAGTGAGATGCTGGATTGCCTCCTGGAATGACAACTGTCTCATCTTCCTTCTTCTTTTTCTCAGCAAGTGGTTGGTTTGTTCCTCATAGATAGGGCTAACCAAATCTTCCTTCAAATATGAACCGTTGGATGGTGGGTGGGGGTCTTGAATGGTTTCCATTTGTCTTTACTTGGTCAACACACGCCTTTATTATAGGAACCGTTGAGCAAATTTGAATTGAAGCGATTGGATTACTCTAGGTGGTGGATATGGTGGCCATTAGATTTTGGCCAAGTGTACCACCTGTTTGAACTCATTGATATCCATATACTTAAATATAATTAATATATATATATATATATATTCATATATATCCATGGAGAGAGAGAAAAGAAGCCAACGTGACCATGTCCCCCTCTCTAGAGATTTGATTTAATCAACTTTGTGAAACCCCATATTTTTAGGATAATAAAATTGAAGTGTTGGAGATATTTTTATTAGATGAGGTGGAATATTTTGTTGGGAACCAAACTTATTAGGATCTTAATCTGCTTTACATTTTGGGAAATTTTCATTTCAAAGATGATTTATCTCAATCTCGCTCTAAGTTTGATTTTTATATCACAAATTATGGAGTCATTGGAGACTGATTATTGTATATCAAATATTGTTAAAATGAGATAAAGATTGTTGTTCTCTTCCAAGAATTCGGTGGACATAATCAGTAGAAGTTTGAAAATTTTTGAAGGAGTATTAGAATATTGAATTGGGAATCAAATATGTTAAGATCTTAAATTTTGTTGCATTTAGAGAAATTTATTTCAATGTATTTTGAAGAAGAAAAAGAAAGGAAACTCATGGAAAATAGTTTTTTTTTTTTTTGGTTATCAAAATTCGGTGAAAAGATTTGAGAAAAATCTTGGAAAATCTTAACAAGGATCAAGGAAAACTTGGCTGAAGGGTTGGCATGTAATGTCCCGGAATTTTGAAGAAGAAAAATGTTTACTAAAAGCATAATATTGAAATTTAATTTTAGAGATGGTAGTTTTAGGGTCAATATTTACAGTAAGTTTGTATTTATCTTTAACCATTTATATTGTCACCTTATAATTAGTTCAATTTTAGTGGTGAAATATTTTAGGTACAAACCAATTACTCTTTTTTATAATATTGTATTTTCCACTATCCTTACTCTTTTAAATATTTATAATAATAATAAATAAAGAAAAAATCAAGGGTGGAAAACACTAACTCACCCTATACCACCTCATCATCATTAAAACCAACACCATCATATATCATCAACTTACACCAACTCATCTTCACCTCAACAACCACATGCCTCATCCATCATCTACCGTCAACTTACACCAACTAATCTTCACCTCAACAACCATATGTCTCATCCATCATCTACCATCAACTTATACCAACTTATCTACACCTCAACAACCACATGCCTCATCTTCCCTTCCAACACACTAACCATGATTACCCTCTTCATCTTATCTTCTTATTAGGGGTATGCACGGGTCAGATTGGGTCGGGTGTACCCTCAATCCGTCAGCTAAACCAAATGCATCAGGTTAGAAACCAAAACATCCGTTGTCAACTGATCTGGTATTCGAAATCAATCGCAACAAACCACTCGGATTGATGGTTGGTTCGGTCGGCGATGGAATAACAACTCCCTTCCATAAAACAAGTCTTTGATTCAAATATGTATACAAACAAATCGATTCAAAGACTCAAACATGTGATTCAAACAAAAGAATGAACATATTTAAATATGAAAGAGTTGCGGGAGATAGAAATAGAGTGAAAAACAAAGTTTTTTTTGAAAAAAAAAAAAAACATTGTTGCCGATTAGTACCACAACCACCATTGATGAACTTCATTGTCCTCATCATCGCTCTTGTTCCATCATTCTGTTATAACTTTGTCACCACATCATTGATCACCATCGCTTTGCCATGTTGCTCTACTCTGTGGCCATCAAGCATCGATTCAAAGACTCAAACATGTGATTCAAACAAAAGAATGAACATATTTAAATATGAAAGAGTTGCGGGAGATAGAAATAGAGTGAAAAATAAAGTTTTTTTTGAAAAAAAAAAAAAACATTGTTGCCGATTAGTACCACAACCACCATTGATGAACTCCATCGTCCTCATCATCGCTCTTGTTCCATCATTCTGTTATAGCTTTGTCACCTCATCATTGATCACCATCGCTTTGCCATGTTGCTCTACTTTGTGGCCATCAAGCCTTTTGGGTTTCTATGAGAAAGAGATTGAATAAGGGAAATAAGGTTTAACAAAAGGCAATCGAAGATTGGAGGCAAGAAAGAACGAAGATGAGGGGTCTTGTAGGTTTACAAGAAGATAGAAAGAGAATGAATGAATACAGAGAGAGTCTATATTGGGAATAGAGAGAGAGAGAGAGAGAGAGAGATAGATTATTGGGAAAAACAAAATACATGCATTTGTATATAAAGATATAGAGAGAGTTTGTATTGAAAGAAGAGAAAAAGACAGATCAAAAATTGAGAGTGGAGTAATGCTAGAGACCCCAAATATTCTACTAAAATTTTTATCAAATGTCTCACATGGGTGCGGGACCCACACAATGTGGGTCCCATGTGGGTCCCACACCAATGTGAGACATTTGGTAAAACTTTTGGTAGAATTTTTGGGGCTTCTAGCATTTTTGATTGAGAGTGAGAGAGAGAGAGAGAAAAAAAAAGAGAGAAAAGTTTACATTGGGAAGAGAAAACATTGGGAGTCAAAATAGGAACTGAAAAGTTTTTGGTTTTGGTGTAGTATTGAATATTGATAAGCCTCAGTCACGAGAAGAAACAAAAATAGGCCATTTGTAAGATAAATTATTATTAATTAGTTATGTATATTGGACGGTTTAGATTTACGCGGGTTTTGAGTAATCAAACCATCAACTGACCGCTAATTTAGGAGCTCTACACCCGTCGTCGATCGTTGCTCTGTTCGAAATCGACCGTACAATTTGGATCGAGTCGGGCCAGTCGAGTTGACCGGGTCAGATAGATTTTCGCACACCCCTACTTCCTATATATACTAGCCTAGTTGAAGGAAGAATCCATATCTTTTATTTCCTTCCACATTCTACTTCTTTATCTTTACAAAAATTTGAGAGTTAGAATATGAGAAGAGTTAGTTATTCTATCAAGAAGGAGTTTTCACACTTAGCTATTTTGGTGCAAGTCTTAAGGTAGAATCTACAACCATCACCATCCTTAGATATATGTTTTAATTTTGTTTATGATATATATGTCATATGTGAAATTAAGTCTTATTATTTTGTATGTTATTTCAAGCAAAGAAAAGAAGATAAAACTAAATGGTGATTTTCAGCGCAGTTGTGATCTTTGATCCATTTGCAAAAGTTTTAACAAATTCTAAAAATTTTCTGTGTAAAATCTAGAAATACAAGAGCTTATTTAGCATATCTTTTGCTTCTCTGAATTCTTAAAAAACCAACGGAAAGTATTTTACAACCGAAACAAATATTTTTCCTGCCACAAACAACCCCATAGAGACAACTATTTTAAATGAATATCATTTTCTCTACAAAAATTATTTTCGTGCAAGACCACTCGGGAAAGTTAGAATTTTTAGCTATCTGTCATTTGCCACTGATTTCACGGAAAACCGATGAGTATTCGAAAGAGTAATTTCGATTTTTCCAAAGTGTGACAGATTCTATCCAATTTTCTTAGCAAAATGCTTTCTTCATGTTAAAAGGATTTTCAGCTTTCAAGTTCTTCTAAAAAAAAGTGTTTCTAACTTGAGTATCTAGCAAACCATCTAAATTTCACTTCTGTTTGATATCATTTGAAACCTCTTTTCATTTTTCAAACTTGAAGTCCTTGTTTTGAAGTTGTTGGAATACCCTGTTTGAAAATACCAGTTCTCTTCCAAAAATAAATTCTCTAGCTTAAATTGATCTTTAGCCTTCAAACCCTTTTAGTAAAATCATTCTAACTCATTTATCTAAATTTATAATCTAGAATCAACTATTTTCGATACCGCTTGGTATTTCTTTTGATTTTACAAACCTAGATCATCTGTGCTGAAATTTGCTAAAAATAATTTGGAAGATTAGTAATAATGTGTGTTATTTTGTGCATCTCTATTTTGTTCATTATTTGGTATATTGTTTATTATGAATCTATTTTATGTGGTTTAAACTTATAGATAATATTGTTCACATGATGCATTGATATTAATATTTTGGAATATGAAATCTACACTAACTGGGTGGTTGGGTTTTTGCGCGGTCTGTGATCCAGTGATATGTTCCTATGATGTGATTTGGAGGAAATTGGTGGTTATTATTATTAGTGTGAGCTCTGATCCGGAATTCTTGCGTAAGTGTGTCGCATTACCTTAAGACGACACGTGGTGTATTCTAGCTTTTGCAAATTTATGGTGGATAAAAGAGGCAGTGAGGGTCTCACACAGAAGGAGTACCTCTGGAAGGCCGTGATTCTTGGCAGTCCATTGATGTTACGACTCTGGTATATAACCCGAGGCATAGGCATCCTTGGTACTGAATCCGATATAGGACCAAGGAGAGGTCCGAATAGCCTCATGTCCATTGTTTAGTGGTTGGGTAAGAACGGCGCTCTATGAAGAGTTGCTTAGAAATACTGATTGGCTAACAGTTAACATGATTAATTATTATCTTTAAATATTTTGTTTGTCCTGCATTCGGTTAATTAATTCTGTTAATTATTATACTACGTATATAAATGTATTATCAGGATGGGTCGATTATCGTGTTGTAATATTCTATTGGGCTTCACAGCTCATGGCTTTCCTTGTATTGCCCTGACGTTTTATGACAGGTACCAAAAAGATTGTGAAGAGGAAGACGTTGTAGCGGACTTAGCAGTGATTGGTTAGGAGTGCTAAAGAAAATTTGTTAGTTGGGATTGTCATACTAGAGGTGTTATTTTAATTCCTTTTGGAGAGATACACATTGCATTTTTATTTGGAGAAAATTTATTGTAATTTGAGATTTATTTGGATTTTAATTGGTCCTGAAAATTTGGGTCATTACAAACTTCAAAGCCATGATTGTCGTTTCCCAAATCTACCATCACTAGGGGTGGACAAACGTTGGGATGGGTTCAATCCAACACTACATAATATATGACTTTGTGTCTGTCCAAGTCCAGCCCTAATATTGGGCCTCTATATCTACCTAAGCCTGATCCAAAAAATAATTATAAATCATAAGCCCACCTATCACCTATCAGGCTATATGTTAAAAAACTTAAAACATTGCATAATTAAATTCAATCACACATTATAGTTCTTAAATAAATATATTGACATCATTATAAATTGAAAGATTTCTTAAATAAATTCAATCACATATTACCACAAATGTAAGTTTCAATAAAATCAACAAATATAAAATCTAGATCCCAACAAAAAAAAAAATTAATGCATTATAAATAAATAAATAAATAATTAATTAATTTAATAACAGATCAGACCGGACTAAGTTGAAAGTATAAACCCCAAACCTAGTCCATTAACATTTCAGGCGGAAAATGTTCAAAACAATCTTCCCAAGCCCTACAAAAATAGGACTAGACCGAGCGGATTGACTAGGCCAATTAGCCGAAGTCCACCTCTAGCCACCACTCTTCTTTGTTAATATAAATAAATATATTGACATCATTATAAATTGAAAGATTTCTTAAATAAATTCAATCACACATTACAATAAATGTGAGTTTCAATAAAATCAACAAATATAAAATCTAGATCCCAACAAAAAAAAAAATATATTTTAATGTATTATAATTAATTAATTAATTAATTAATTTAATAACGGGCCAGACCGAACTAAGTTGAAAGTATAAACCCCAAACCTAGTCCATTAATATTTTAAGCGGAAAATGTTGACCCAACCTGACCCTATAAGTTAAAACATTCTTCCCAAGCCCTACAAAAATAAGACTAAACCGAGCGGATTGCCTAGGCCCATGAGCCGAAGTCCACCTCTAGGCACCACTCTTCTTTGTTAATATCCACCAAGGATCTTCTAGAGTGAAATTTTCCTAAAGTTTCCTAAAGTGTTATATTGTGTGGTTGAGATTTACTGGCAAGTCACATCAGAAAAATTGATGTGACTTGCCAGTAAATCTCAACCGTACACTGTAGCACTTTAGGAAACTTTAGAGAAAAATCACTCTAGAGGATCCTTACTCGTTAATATCGCCCACCTTTCATCACTACAGGCACACGTGGCACATTCCCATTGGAGGGTCATTTTTGAAACAAACAGGTATGCATTAAATCGTGTTGGTTAGGCATATAATTTTGGGGTAATTCTACTTATACCATCCTTTTATCTCCTTACCCTTATAATTTATTTATTTATTTTTTACCATCTTCTTATTTAGAATTACCAAAAAATCCCTCAAACCCAAACCCTAATCCTAATTTCTAACCCACCCAGAGAGGATAACCACCACTGTCACTGTCGTCGGCAACCCACCTCCCATCTCTAGTGACTTCACCACCTTCAACCACTAACCTCCGACCCATTCTCCCTCACTGGTGACTCCTTTTTCCACTAGCGATCTTTCCCCTTCACCCACTAGGAGCTCAACCCGTCAACCCGTCATCGCGATCTTTCCCCTCACTGGTGACTCCTTTTTCCACTAGCGATCTTTTTCCACTAGTCTTGCCACAATCATGACCCAGTTTCATCACCCATCACTGCCATCGGAACTGAACTCCACCTCTCGTCGCCCCATCACGAAGAACCTTGTCGCCTATCCTCGCCATCATGACTGAAGCCCTTCTGATTGCCCTCTTCTACTGCTGAGAAAGCACGAGAGAGAGCACCACGGCCTATCGCGAACATCCTAGCCACCCACCCTCGCCATTACGACCCAACTATTGCATTCTTCCATCGCCAACAGAGCAAGAGAGAGAAAGAAAGAGAACCTAGAATTAGAAAAATAAGAAGAAGAGAAGGAGGGTGAAGAGGGGTCACAGTGGTTGAAAATTGTAAGGGTTGATCGCGGGTGGAGAAGGGGTTGGCCGTCGGAGACGACGGCCGGAGTGGTACTGGAGGTAGTGATTGGGAGTGAGATAGGGTTTGGGTTTGAGAAGATAAGGGCAAGTTGGGTATTATAGTATGTGTAATAAGAAAATAAAATTAGAAATGGTATAAAAAGATATGGATGTAAGGAGTTGATTTGATGGTGTATGTAATATTTCTCATAATCTTTTTTGTCTTTCTTACTAATAATACTCTATGAACTATGGTCATGTTTGTTTGGATGGACATGAGTTTGGGATTAGACTAATAGTCCAATAAAATTATTAATCCGATATTTGGTTAAACAATTGAAGTACGGACTAATTATTTTAAACTTGACTATTAGTTAAGATATGATATATAATTCAACGGATTCGTAATCCTAGAATTATTAGTCATGGGATTGCTAATCCAATCCGCCCAAACAAACATGACCTACATGACATAAAAGCGCATCCAAGATAATCCTTGTATCATGTAATTGTCAAAGACAAACTTGAAAGATGGCTGAAAACATAGTCGAACCACCAACATTGACGTTTTTCATAAGATTGATTACGACAAATTAATTTTTATATGCATGTTAGGATGTAATTTTCCCTATAAAATGTTCTTATGTTACAATGTATTTTAAAATTAGGTCCAAAAACATAAGATGATTTATAGTGGTACGTATGTCATCTCATTTCTCACAAGCTTAAAAGGATTGACTTAATTTACAGGAAGAATTATAGCACAGAAAATAATATATATATATATATTAACATCCTCCCTCAAACTCAAGGTGGCAAGGTAGAAATCAACTTGAGTTTGGAAACCAAATCTTGGAAATGTCCAAGTAGAAGGGTCTTGGTGAAGATGTCAGCAATCTGATCAACAGTAGAAGTAGGAAGAAGATAAATAGTGCCTTGAGTAACATGTTGGCGAATAAAATGACAATCAACCTCAATATGTTTGGTTCGATCATAGAAAACATCATTATGTGCAATTTATACAGCACTACGATTGTCACAATATAAGGGAATGCCAATAGAAGAAGGAACACCCATATCTGAAAGTAACCAACGAAGCCAAAGGAGGTCCTGAGCGGTATCAGCAAGAGCACAATATTCAGATTTGGTGCAAATATAACTTATAATTATTCACATTTAGCAAACATAGTCTACTATGCATCAATAACATTATTTCTTCAAGGAAACCAAAGGTTATGTGGATGGCAGAGAGAGAGAGAGAAATACACACCATCAAAAACTCCAAAGAGACCAACTATCTCTCCATCCACACCATCAATTCTTGTCTCATAAAAATCTTCCATTGTAGACCTTTTTCCAAGGGAGCTTGCATAACCATAGCTGAACTTTCCATTCTGACTGTTTTCAGGAGACAAATTAAGCACAATGTTAGACTTAGACTTCTGCACTCTCATTTTTCGGAAAGAACTATAAACATTGCAAAGAAGTATAAATTCCTTCAATTACTAAAACCACAGTCGCCATACAACATCAACAAAAACTCTTGAACCGATGAAGTATTTAAATTGAAGGAATGTGAATAGATCAAACACAGTGCGAAAATTTGATTTATTTCTACTGGAATGTGAACAGATCGAACACAGTAGAAAATTTCAAATGTGAAATAAAACCAAAATCAAGTAATTTGATTTATTTATCTCATATACCTAATGACAACACAGAGAGAAGGCGAAAACCTAGAAATAAGGCGATTCTTTAAACCCTAATTACTTACTTCAGAGAGAAGGCGATTCTTGGGAAGAAGTTTGGGCACTTCAGGAGGTAGAACCACATGTCTGCAAAATCAACAAATCAATAACCAAAGAAGTCGAAATTTCTGATGGGCAATGTGATCGGAACGCCAGATCTGAACGCCAGATCTCGACCTCCTTCCGAAGATCGATCAGATCAAGCCCTAGATCGAACACATCTCAGCCATTGATGACGTCCTTCAGCAATGCTATCTGATCTCAGATCGGTTGTGAAGCACAGTAGGGAGAGGAAGAGGGAGAGGGAGAGAGAGAGAGGGAGAGGGAGTTGAGGACAACGTTTGGGTACAGGCAGCCGTGTTTGGTAGGCGTGGGCCATGTGATCGGAACGCCAGATCTCGATCTATCAGCAGCAGCCCTAGATCGAACACATCTCAGCCATTGATGACCTCCTTCAGCAATGCTATCTGATCTCAGATCGGTTGTGAAGCACAGTAGGGAGAGGGAGAGGGAGAGGGAGAGAGAGAGAGAGAGAGGGAGAGGGAGTTGAGGACAACGTTTGGGTACAGGCAGCCGTGTTTGGTAGGCGTGGGAGAGAGAGGACAGGGTGTTTGGGCGGGAATCAAACACATCCCAACCATTGATATATATTTGGGATTGATCTCAGCCATTGGATCAAAATATATCTCACATACATTTTTGATACATTTTTCAAAAAGCTTTGTGCCTTATTATATAGATATATATATTTGGAATATGTTATTTTAATTAATTATTTAATTTTTTATGAAAAAAGTATAAAAAAATAGAGAAAGTGATGTAATGGAGTATTTTGTTTTATTATCTATTTTAACCTGAAATAAGCTATTCTAACCTATCCCAAACACTCCTTTATATCACCAAGACATACAACAAAATATTATTTATTTTTTAATTTTTAAATAGTAAACAATCATGAATATTTACATATACAGTGATCTAAAAGGAGAACAAATATTGGTAACATGTAATACATATTTGTTTTTTTGGTTATGGTATGGAGTCAACTTTTTGATGATATATAATCATAATCGCTTTACTCAATTTATAAATAGGAAAATGCATTTTACCCCAGCTGGGGGTGACACCCAGTGAGGTGTCAGTTGGGGGTTGGTCCGAAAAAAATAATTTTTTTTTTTGTTTAAAAAAATTTTCGACCAGTGATAATGCGCCACGTCACTGGGAGCGACCCGTGAAGCATCTCT